CCCCCCCCCCCCCCGAACAGCACCCAGGTGTTATGGTTTCGGGCCAGCGGCCGACGCCGGAAAATGCGGGGGGGGGGGGAACGGGGCGGAGGCGGGGCGCTTCCCTCTCTCAGAAGCAGTGATATCCTCCGAGCCGTATGATTGCCCTACTGGGGGGGGGGAGTCTGCTCTCGCTCGACCTCAGGGTCCTATTTGCGTGTCTATTTTATATGTTGGAAAGAATACATATTCCCGGGATTTCGGGTGCACAGGGCATCTCGAACAGAAGGCATGAAAAGGACGCCAGGACATCGGTCCCGTGTTGTGGGGCTGCCTCTCTCTTGGGCGACTAACTGCCCCCCCCCCCCCAATCACACTGGGCGATGCCTCCTCGGCTGGCCGGCCACGGCCGGAGGCGAGCGAGGAAGGCAAGGCACACATGCTCCGGCACACGGCGGCCGCCCCTCCTCCGGAACCTCTATTAACCGAATTGGCGCGAGAGGTGCCAACGAAGTGGCCCCTTTTTTGCTGCGCCGCCGCACGGCCTCACTTGCCTGTTCGGCGGGGAGCCGATCTTCTTCGACCGATCACACATGCATGGGGAGGCTTGCCCGCCGGAACGCGCGAGGGGGGCGCCAGGCTGCGGGGCCGGGCCGGGGGACGCAGGCCGCATGGTCCGGCGCCCCGAACAACCGGCTACCTCCGGTCCGGGGATGCGGGGGGGGGGGACGGGGGAGGGCATCGCCCGGGTGGTGACCGTCTATCTCAAGGCGGGCTGATGCGCAGCATCATCCGGCCCTCGGGCGCCCTGCATGCTGTGGGAGCATTGATCTGTGTGATAGCCCCGCGGCTGGGCCGGCGGCCGGCGGCCCTCCAGCCCCGGCCGCCCGAATGTGTGGCGCGCACCCGGGGTGTCAGAGATAAAATTCGACACCGGGGGTCGTGCAGGATGCGCCGCTGGGATTGGTGCGGCTCCCCCTTTTTGTCACTTCTGTCACTGCCGCTGCTGCCTCCTTCGGTGGCCATTCCCCGGGAGGCCACCTGGCCCGGGCCCCCCGGCTCCGTGGCGGCCACGCTTGAGTTTAGAATTTCCGGCGTACTTTTGAACATTGGCAACTGGCCGTGTGGACGGCCGGAAAGGAAGAAACAGGGATCTGCTCTCCTCCCGCGGCCCTTTGTCCTGCCGGGTACCCCCCCCCCCCCCCCGCCCGGACTCCCTTGATCAAGCGCCGACCAACGG